TTTTAGTAAATTAACCCCTTAAAATTGTTATTAGGCCCCAAAAAATTTTCAGTATACATAATAAGATCCTAATGGACAACTTTGTAGTTTTTAGTTTTTGCAAAAGAGGACCCTAACTTTATCAAATTCGGAGAAACATATTTTGGATTTCAAATAAAGGAAAATCAGATCTAGAATCAGATACTAACTAAATAATAAAAATTCATTTTAAAATCCAAATGAACTCATATTTTGATAAAATTAATATCAATGGAAAGATCTTGATCTCAGTGTGAATTCTCATGGGGAAAAATTTTCCAAATTTTGAATACAAGAATTTATAAAGGTCGGTCAGAAATTCATGAAGGTCGGTCAGAAATTCATCTACCGCAGGAAATGAGCCTAGATGACAATGCTAATCGTCCTAACCTAACATGCTCTGAATTTTATGAAAATTTCACAGTGAACATATCTAAATGTTCTTCACAACTTTCATGAGGGAATTTTTTCTCAAATAATGAATGTAGAAAATCCGAAAAATATTTAAACCGAAAAAGGTCATTCAGTATCACAGAAGAACATAATACAACATGATCATTCCAAATTCTGATCTCGACTTTCGAAGGAGTTTTGACCTAGTAAACGATGTCCGCTCATGGTATGCAGCATATCAAATCGAAGCTTAAGACGTATTCTATGACTTTATAGTTCATTACTTCGCAAGATTCTAACATTTTCAAAGTCAAATCATCATCACAAGTAGACTGACCATCAGGATCCGAGAATGATTGATTTGAACTCACCTTGTGTAATGATACTTTGACGCACAACCAAGCGATCCGTCCTCCGTATTCAGCTCAAGGACAGCACAGAGAAGCCTCGGAAAGCTCGACAAACCTATGAGAATCAAGCGTACAAGCTAAAGTGAGAACTGACTCAGTTTTGCATAAATAAACATTTAATCGAAAAATCAAAAGAACGAGACGATCCGGTGGCCGTTAAGAGGAACCACGGCCACCACAGCCTTGGGAGGATGTTGTGATGAATTGCCAAGAGGTCGGAATCGCCGGAGCGAGCACCGGACCGCCGGTTCAATCGGTTGAACCAGCTGGAATCAACACCGGCTCAGTCGCTGGTGTTGTGACCGCCGGAAAGAAGGCGCCGGATGGAGCAGCTCCGGCCACCAGCAAGGGCGGGTGGTCTTGTGACCAACCTTGGACCGCCGTGGAGGACGGCGGTGAGGCGGCGGCTTGCCGGAAAATGGCCGGCAAAGGACCGACGAGAGAGATCCCGAGAAAGAGAGAGGGGGCATGAGTTAGAGAGAGAGAGGGAAGAGAAGAGAGAAAATTCAGATCTGAAAATGAGAGTCCTTATCAATTTTTAGAGGAAAAAAGCTTATATACCTCTCCCAACTTTGAATCATAGCCCTTAAATCAATCTGATGGCCTAGAATGCATCATTAATGATTAAGAATATTCCTTAAGGGCTAAGGATAAGTGACATGACATTATGGATGGCCATGATCTATTCTAGATGAATGGTCATGATTGGTTTGCTTACCCTCTAAGTAATTTGCTTAATCCTTAAAAAAAACATTTTGGTAATTTCACTTAGGGGCATTTTTGTAATTTCTATTTAAGGGCATTTTTGTCATTGTGAGCACAAAGGGATGTGGCTGGCCAGAATGAACCGCCGGCCGCTGGATTCTTGATCGGAAAAATGGCCAGTCTAATCGGACCGGTTCAATTCTGGTCAAACCGGGTTGGACCGATTTGACCAGAGTTTGATTGGGTTGAACAGATTCAATTCTCGGCCCAATTTGTTTCAATTTTGTACAATTTAATCCTTATCATGATTAATTGACCCGATTGAATAGAATTTGATTAAATTGGATTGAACCGATTTGAAATACAAGCACAAATTGATCCAATTTAACTTATTTGGCCCAATTGCTCTTCAATTTGAGTTAAACTGCATTACAAAGCTAAACTAATGAATTTAATTGAAGTCCAATTGGCCAAATTGAGCTTCAATTTATCAAATTGGATGTTAGTCTAGAATGGATCAAGTTAAATTGTCTTAATTGGACCAATTACTCTTGGATTTCTCAATCATTGGATCACTAGATTGATCAAATTAACTCGAATTTAAGTGAATCTTCCAAAATTGATTTCGGATTTGAGTTTCATATAAGAAATTAGATTCATCCATGTCTCAATTACGCAAATCATGAAGAATCGATGGGAATCACTGATTATGGCCTAAATTGGGGGTTTTGCCCTTGGCTTGGAATTACAAAATTGGTTCTCAAAATTGAATGCAATACGATCTCTAGATCAAATGTTGTGAAGGAAGCTATCCTAAAAAATGACTAGAAATGAAGTAATTTCATTTTTGGCCGATTTGAACCAAATTCCGCAAATTGGGGAAAAGTTGATTCTAAACCGATTTTTGTAAAATTGATGATTCCAAAGTGAAATTAAACTAAACATGAGTTGATTTAGAGGTTTTGAAATTTTTGAATTTTTTTAGACAAAGTGTTGACCAAGAGTCAACATTTTAGTACTTATATACTAAAATGTTAATTAATGGGTCAAATTTTGAATTTTTTGAAAATTGATTGTGCAAAAGTGAAATTGACACTATTTTGGATTTTTTATGCAAAAAATCAAATTTTGACTTTGGGTTGACTTTTGGTCAAAGTTTGACCAAAAAGCAACTTGAAAGTCAACTCTTTGACTTTTTGAAAATTGAAATGTAAAAAGCTAATTCAAATGCTAAATGACTCTTTTTGGTTGAGGATTGAGTTCTATCGTGATCAGAAATCCTATTCTCAAGGTTTTTACATTTATGACGCATCGGCTAAAAACCAGGTGTCAACACATTGATAGATGGTAAATGTGTCGCACGGGTACAAGTTTGTGATTTTTTCATATCGCAAGAAAAAATTAGGGTAAATGTGTCATATTGGACATAATTTGGGCTTTTTATGTTACAAAAAAGTTCATAATAAATGTGTCAAAGTGGGTATAATTTGAGATTTTTTATGGCTTTTTCCCTTAAAATTACTATTACCATCGAGGATTTACTTCTAGGAAAATTGAGGATTTGCATAGACTTTAGAGCTAAGCCGCCATTGCCACAAGCCTGATGAAGCTCAAGTGGCCATGGCCACAAGCTCAAAGAAGCTCCAATTGCCAAGATCTCGAGCTCAATATCTCCTTTGCTCCACGAGGAAGCTCAAGTGGTCAAACTCGAGCTCGACGAAGCTTGAGCTCCGGCTGCCATGGCCCCAAGCTCCAAATCTCCTTCGCTCCACGAGCTCAATGAAACTTGAGCGTCCATGGTCGAGCTGGACCAAACTCGAGCGGTCACAGTCGTGCTTGAAGAAGTTCAAATTGCCATGGCCGCAAGCTCCAAATCTCCTTTGCTCAAAGAAGCTCAAGCACCCATGATCGAGCTCAATGAAATTGGAGCGACCATGATTGAGCTTCACGAAGCTCGAGTGGCCTTGGATGTGAGCTTGAAGAAACTCCGGCCGACACCAAGGAGAAGAGAGCAAAGCAAAAGAATAGATCAAACAAGGTTATAGTTTGAAGAAACACGGCATCTATTTTGAGCATTGGTCCACACTTGATTTAAATTTAGGGCAAAAGCCATAAAAATCATAAACTATGCTCATTGCGGCACATTTACCATATACTTTTTTGTAATGCTAAAAATCCCAAATTTGTACCCATGAGACACATTTATCCTCTGTCAAAATTCTATCTATAAAAACAGTTAAAATATGCCTACATAGACGCCAGAAAGCAAACAGTGTTGACATAGCGCCCACGTGGCTTAAGTAAAATAAAAATAATGTTATTATGGCTGAAAAATCATCTAACGGAACCTTGACGGAGTCTCATAGGTATAAATTTGGGGTTTTTTAAGTCACAAAAAAAAAAGTTTATGATGAATATGTTACAATGGGCATAGTTTGGGGTTTTTGATATCATAAAAAAAGTTTATGGTAAATGTATCACAGTGGGCATAGTTTGGGATTTTTTATGACTTTTTTTTCGTTAAATTTAATAGCCATATAGGAGAGAGAAAATAAAAAAAAAAGCCACGTCAACATTTTTTGTTAAGTAAGCAAATTCGACGGAATTCGAAAGAATTTGATTGTACCAATTTGACAAGTTTTAGGATTTGATCGCACTTTCTCAAAATTTGGGGCACTTTTATCGTTAGAATAATTAAATATTAAACCAATCTTTCATCTAACAGCTTAAATTTTTAGAAAAATTGAAATTGGTCCCACAAAATATTATATGCAATCAGATCAAGATGTCTTGAATTCAAATCTTTCCAGACTCTATTTGCCTTCTCAATTGCAGATTAGAAAGTATTATACAGCAATCGGAGAGAAACCATGTGAGTCCAGATGCTTTAAATCAATAAATCTACTATTGCTTTTAGAGTTCAATGTGGAAGGCCCACGTAAGTTCTAGGAATTGCAATATACTTAGATTTAATAACGTGTCCTCAACTTAATTGTCTCTTTCTCCGACGACTCGTGGAGTCAACCATACGAGGCTGATTCATCGACTTTCGTAGCTTTATGAAGTACAAAACCCCAACTTCAATAATAAATTCAATTTGGCAAGAGTCGCTCCTTTGCTACATGGCCCCCATCTTTTAGTTGAACTTGAACCTCATGCCCAGAGTCATGCGAGAAGAAATTTTGTGCATCAAGTACATCACGTGATAGTGACACATCGAGGAGCCAGCCCACGATACCATTTAGAATTCAAACATTAGGTTGGTTGAAATGCATATAGTGCATTTTAAAGTTTAACGAAAATTTGGTTAAAATACATTATTATCACGGATGGATCGGTTATGCTATACTAATTGTGTAATAGATAGATAATATACTTTCTTGTCATAGAGCCCCCCCCCCCCCCCCCCCCCCCCCCCCCCCCCCCCCCCCCCCAAAAACTTTTTTTTTTTTTTTTTTTTTTCAACCATTTAAAACACTCTAAGAACTTATTAGCTCTACATTTTAATCCATGAAAGCACAAACTTGCCTTTATATATACCCTACTATAGACTCAACATCACCAGTACTACCTCATTTTTAAGCTCAACCACCACATTTCTCATCATTCTCTATACACCCCCAACAAAATTCAGCTGTAGATCTCTCATCAGCAATGTCTGGCGTTTGGGTCTTCAAGAACGGCGTTGTTCGCTTGGTCGAGAACCCTGGTGCCGATCCGTCGTCTGGCTTGAACTTGAGGCGCAAAGTGTTGGTTCACTCACTCACAAATGAAGTGATAACATCGTATGCTGATCTTGAGAGGAAGTTGGTTTCACTTGGATGGGAAAGGTACTACAATGATCCAGATCTCCTTCAATTCCACAAGAGTTCCACAATTCATTTGATATCCCTTCCCAAGGACTTCAACAAGTTCAAGTCCGTGCACATGTACGACATCGTCGTGAAGAACCGCAACATATTTGAAGTTAAGGATGCATGATCTTTATTGCATACATGACGTTGCTCCGTCGTGTGAGTTTATCTTAGCCTTTTTATGATTAAATGGATGAGACTGTGGTGGATTTAGATTTACAGGACTTGGTGAACAAAATGAAGTGTTGGTTTTGCACATTAAGTGCGTCCCAAATGGTTATGAAGATGATGTTATATTGTTCGAGTTTCTTCTGTGGATGAACATCAGATTCTCATGCATGCCTCAAACATTGTACCAACGAAACGTTCTTCACGGTAGATTATTTTCTGGTGACTTTACATTTGTGGAAGGTATTTTGTCTAAAGGATTGATATCCCGTGCATGGCAAAACAAGTTAATAAGATGGTTGATAAAATCAGGCGAGTGAATTTGTGAGACAAAACCAATCCCCCACGGATGAAATTCAAAGCTTATCATTTCATGATTTATTCACACCATGACATGGACAAGTGAGACTGCGGCCCATCACAATTAAATTTGAATGAGCAGCTCTCGTTTTGATCTGATTTTATGCATTGTCCCATGTTACTTTGATCAGGTTTGGTTTACACATTGCAAGTCATGCCATTATGCCGAGTTGCTAATCCCTACATCTTAAAACTACATCACGTTTCTTCTGATCCGGAAAATTTACAAACCTTTTTTAGCATCCATCCCCTAACATGTTGCGAAATCCAATACTCTTGACATTGATAATGTAGATCAACGACGTACTCGTGAATGTCCACATTGAATCAACTGAGCTTGAATTATTGTGAGACTTGAAACTTCAGTTGGAGAGTCAACATTCAGAACGGCCACAAAGGAGAACCTCACAGCTCGATTCCTGTTGCGTATAAGCCAGAAATGCCTTAGAATCAGCAAAGTCTGTTGTTTCTCCTTTTTAGGGTTAACGGTGGGGGTGTACACGAGCGGAGTTAAGAGCTTTAACATCTGAATATGGCAACAAGCTTTTTTGTCGTTTCTCTTTGAGAAGTAATCTTTATCCTAAAGCATGGAAAATGACAAGCTTTACGAAATTGTAAATGGTTATCTCAAACTTTTGATGCCCCAAATAGAAGCAAGGACGGAGAGAGAGAGAGAAGTGAAATTATTGAGTTTTTCCACACGGTGTATATATCCATTCTGAACTTAGATCACACAATTACATGTTCATACTCAAGATGATCAAATCACAAGTTCAAGACATAAGAGCTCTAACATGTTCTCACTGTGAAAAATTAGCATTAGATTGGAAATAAGTTTCCGTCTAAGTCCGACCGTACAGAAGGAACCGATCATGCCGTAACGAACTGCAATCATAAATGCGTGTGAACCCTCTTCCTTTTTAAGTCCCGACATGATATGTCAATACCTTCCTGAGGAGAGAGTTCAGTCTATACACGCATTGTGGTGTATCTTATGTGCATCACCAAGCTCAGATTCCTCAACAAGAGGGTTTGAAATTGATTTCTCCCCTTTTCCGGGTGCCACTTTTATTGAAAAGCACTGCATGCGTGGAAGGTGCTATAAAAAGCCTGTCCTTCTTTCTGATTCCTCTTTTGAATCTTGCGTTCGCCATCGTCTGCCTAAATTTTGACGGGGCTCGAGAGGAGAAATTCATCTTCGCACTTGACGTTGTTGGCATTAAAAAAGCTCGAACATTTCAACTGTTTGTGTTGTGGTCCATTGAGTTTGGCAAACCATGACTTTGTCATGCTTATGAGCCATAGAGCTCAAAAGAAGAAGGGCCCCTCATTGCAAATGATTAATTAGTTCTTGTTCGGCATGTTGCAAAGTCTTTTGATATATGGTTGTTTATTGTAGAGTAAGTCTATCATCACCAGTTTGGGAAGCAGTTGTGGAAGAATGAGTTGGAAAAGGAAATTTGTTGGAACTTGAAGCACATGATCGAGAAGGGGGAAAAGTATCAAAAAAGTCCTAAACATATTGCATTTGTATTAATTCAGTCACAAACCTTTCAATTGGACTAAATTAATCATAAATTTATTCACATTGACACCAATTCAATCCATCCAGCCAATTTAAGCTGGAAATTATTGACATGGATGTTGGCCATCCTACGTGACACGGCCAGTAGATTTGGCGAGAGTCGCCCTCGCCAACCCTCACCTGTGGCCGTCGCCAACCATGGCCAAGTATCAACCACAGGCCAAAGGAAAGAGAAGAAAATAAAAAGAAAGGAAAAAAAGGAAAAGAAAGAAAAAAAAAGGATTTTTTAAAATTAATAAAAAAATTTAGAAAATTATTAAAATATTATTAAAAATATCTATGTCAACTCCGGCCATCTACCGGCCGTGCCACGTAAGATAGCTAGCATCAACATCAATGATTTCCGACCTAAATTGGCTGGATGGACTGAATGGTACCAATGTAAAAAGGTTAAGGACTAAATTGGTCAAATTAAAAGTTTTAAGACTGAATTAGTACTAATGCAATAGGCTTATGACTTTTTCTGTACTTTTCCCATCGAAAAGATGACCATTCTACCGATGAAGTGTACGTGTAACTATGAGAGATGTTAGAGAAGTCCTGTATCGGAGATCTGATTTGATGTGAATAAAATAATGAGAAATGATGAAGTGACGGCCCTTTATTCTGCCGTGATAGTTAGTACCCTTTCTCGGCCACAAATTTCTTCCAAGAAACCTGAAAACTTGTTTGTCCGATTTCCTCTCTTAAGTTCTAGAGCCCTTGATCAATTGACATAATTAATGTGACGCTCCAGCTACTCCTTCCTTTTACTTGCTCCTTTTTTTTTGTGCTGTAAACCTTTTCGTTTGGTAGTAATATTTCCGGAAAAATCTTTTATTCATTTTCTTTACCTTAAAGCCTACCTACAATCTTGTTATGTAGCGATTGGTATAACTAATTTATACGCGGTATTTTCATCCTTTTATTTATTTAGAATTTTCAAAAATTAATTTCCTTTTTAGAAATTTCTGACACAACCTGAAAACACACTAAAATTTTGCGATAAGGATGTACTGCAAGCTGTATAATTTTATGCAGTATTGCAATCGATCATATGATTTTTGTATTTGGATACTTATACAAATTGAATATTTTTCTCAAACAAGCCACAAACAATGGATTCACTAGTTGGAGCGACCCGCATGTACTATTTAATAAGATTAAAAATTCCGATTGTGCCTCATTAATTACTAAATAATGGAAATGCTCTGTTCTAATTGATCATTCAGACGGTGGCTTACGGTAAGCATGCTTGATTGACCTATTGTGAAATTAACTTAATATAATGTGCAACCATGAACAAGAATGTTTTTCACAAATTTCAAGGAAAATAAAGATGTACATCCTTGCGAATTACGTATCGTATTATCTTCATCTAGATATTACAAACAAAGTGTTATAGAACACATTTGATTTTGGAATAAATCGATGGCCTGAAAATGGTGGTTGAATATCCGATGGATTTTTTTGGCTTAAATAACATCCTTGGATTCTTAAACGTAACAAACTATCACTAATCCACGATTCTAGTTGCCCATCTTCCACAAATCGCAATATGTGGTCGGCGCTGCACCGTCACTAATGTAAAGTAATCGTACTGTCTTGCTAGGAAGACCCTTATTTAATATATCATAATTGGCCTATAACTCATTTATATTAACTCAGACTTAGGCTGTTTCTTGATGATCTGTCTAGTTGAGCTCTTAAATTAGGAAAAGTAACTAAAAGTTGGTGAGTAACTCAAATGGGTGATGATAGCCTACAATTAGTTGGTAATTCAATATGATAAAAGTTGGTAATTCTTGATAAAGGTTTGGTAATTTCATATAAGAATAGTAAATTCGAAATACTCAAGTTATGCAAATAAAATTCAGTAAGTTAGTAACGAAAATGGTAATTTACAAACTACAAAAAAATTGGTATTTTTATGAAAATATTGATTAGTTACCAAAAAAATTACCTTGAAAAAAGTCACAGGTTCTTTTTTTTTTTTTTTGACCAATTTTTTTAACTCTATCAACATTTATCGAAATTCATCAACACGCAAAGATAACCCGTATCTTTTGGCACGGAATAAAAGGTTTCTGGATTGTCAGGCTGCACTAATTAATTTCCATATGTTAGGAACAAAGATTTTGTCAAAGCTTGGTTATTTCCTTGTTGTTGGGCTTCTTCTACTTCATTTCTTTCTATAGAACTTCGGTACAGGGTTGACCCTTTTGCTGCCTCCTTTTTCCTTGTCCAATTTTCAACACCAAATGAAGTTCCAGTTTCCATCCCCTTCGATTAATCAAACTTAAAGAGAACTTTAATTCCTAAATCTTAACACTAACGAATGTAATGGCTTAGTGTAATCGTGTGTATCTCTTACCACAGAACTATTGCAACGATGTCGACTCGCCAACATCGACGGCTCATGTCTTAACTCACTCGGGACCCCATTTTAAATAACGAACAATGACCCGACTCGACAATCGGTCATACGATTATATCTATCTTCAGGAGCAAACTCTTTGAAAAATCAATTTACTATATGAACAAGAACAGAATACAACAGTCAATATGTCCCTCCAGGTACAAGCACTCGTGTGTGCTAGCGCACAAGGAGCGAAATTTTGACGATGACAAAACTCTCAAGCCGACTAGAAGAGATTGAGAAAGTGTGTAGATTCATGAACGTCGCAAGACTCGACTATAGTCGGCACGTGCACAAACGTGACTAATTGCTGCAATTGAACCCTTTGCATATAGAGAGCCAGATTATCAGCACGAGAAGCAGCACGATCCCGAGCACAGCCAACTTGATCTTCATGTTCTGATACCACATCTTCCGCCGGATTGCTCCCCCCGTTGTCTTGAATATCTGAGCCTGCACTAGAGGAACACGCGTATTTACTACTAATAGACTCGAGAAACACGTGAAAGCTGATTTGCGTTGCGACAAGTATGCTGTTTCTCGATTGTCGCTAGCTTTACCTCGTTATGGAGATTCTCAGCTTTGTCCTCTAGAACTGTAAGTTTTATCCCCCTATCCATTGCCTGAAAAACACAATTAGCAGATGGTACCGCGTGAATCATTGGCCAAGTTCAAGAGGTAAACAATAGAGGTAGGCCACTAACGAAGCAGTGGATTTAGAGATAGCAAAAAGCCACTAAGTTTTTCATGGGTCAAACCGTAAGTTCGTGATTGGGTCATTAGAAGAAAAACAAAACAGAAAAGCAAACAGAAGTTCTTGATTAGGGCTGTCATAATCAATCTTTTTGAGACATTTACAAGATTCTTCATGTAAAGGTACAATCTAGAGTACAATTCAAGAAAAGAATGCCATGATACATAAGTAAAGGACATTTGCGGCGCCTTATTCTCACAATCTATCTGTATTTATTAAAAGTCATAATTGGAGCTTAAATGGCTTACCAGGTACTGCACCAGTAAGACTCATTTTGAGTTCTCATCAAGCAATTCTACACTAAGCGAAATTTCGAAAAGCTACACTACATGGTAGGACGAAAAAATCACAGTACAAAAACAAGTGGAGATTATGGCTTTCTCAATTACTGCCCAGAAAATTGGTAATGATTCCAGGTCCACATAAGATTTGCGAAAATACGAACATTATCAAACACATGTACAAGCTTAGTTAATGTACCTGGTCGATGTTATTCATCATTATGTTCTTGACTTGTGAAACTTGAGCCTTCACTTTCATCATCTTATCAATCTCCTCAGCATGGTCTATGGTGTACTTCATCTGCTCTTTCATTACAGGCCTGCAGATTCATATTTTCATTATTTTTTCATTGAACTTTTCGTTCCGTTGAAATTGTGTTCGATATATACTACACATGGACAAATTGCAATGTAACCAAGATAGTTCTTGATGCTGACCGTACCCGAACTCCTTACTGAGACTTTTGGCGACAGCTGTATCCGCTTTCCCGCCTCCGTATCTTTTCTTGAAGTCCTCTTTTAAACGCTCCAAAAACGCAAATGGGATTTGCTTGCCCGCAGATTCAGTAGCAACGATGCAGTAAGCTGCAAATTCATATATTGGAAACTTAGCAGGATTAGGAGATCCTAAAGTCTGCGAATCTGATATATGTTCGAGACCTCTGAGCCTGACACCATTTCAAAGTTGTACATGTGATGAATTGTTCTAGTATAATGTCCCTTGAAATTTCTTTATCTGGCCTCCTAAGTTGAGATTGACCCGCCGTTGATTACTATAATCTCTACGAATTAAAATTGACGCAAACAACAAATTTAGCATTCTCTGCTTGCTCTGACCAGCTAACCCATCACGTGTTAGCTAAACATCTTCACAAACACACTAACAAAATCAAGCAAAAGAAGAACAAAATAACTAACACAAAGAGCAAACGTTTTCACTTAATTACCGTAGCCGTCCTCGACCAGGAAATTGAAAGTATGCCCGTCGCAATTGTAGGTGTACTTGCTGCTCCCGGAGGGGAGTCGCTGGAGGCACTCGGTGGCGATGGCCGGGAAGTTCCCGGTGAACTGCGTGTGCTCGGTCAGCACCACCGTGCCCCGCGCCACGAAGCTGTATATCAGCGATCCCTCTTGTGACCGACTCATTTCGATCCTCGCCGCGTCTTCGCTGAGAGAAAGAGAGAGAGAGAGATATTGAAAAAATTAAAGGGTGCTCAAAGTCGTGTTATGCTTTTCATATATGTCTGCATGGTCTGGCGCAGGTGCTTAGCGTCGAAGGAAGCGTTGGGATTTGTTTAACGAGTCTTCCATTGGGTTCGCATTGGACGAGTAAAACAGCGCGTCTTCTAGTTGGTTTATTGCTGACTTGGACTTAGTATTTTCTTTGATTTCTTTCCTAACACTCATGTCCAAGTTGGACCTGGTCAGAGACAAATTCATACACGTACATACGTAAATAAGTCAAGCTAGGATGAATATATTATATAATTCTTGTTGGTATTATTGCTTGAACGCGTTGAGCAACGGAATATTAGTATGATTCAAGCAAGAGACAGAAAAGGAGAAAGAAGCTCTCCCCTTTGACGGCATTTAATAAATATATTATGTGCTTTTAGGAACTACAAGAGCAGAAGATAAGAAGGAAAACTATTCAAAATGTCCCGAATCTATTGTATGGTGATCAATTCAATTCTAAACTTTTTATTTTAATCAATTTAATCTCAAATCTTTTAACGATTTATCAATGTAGTCATTCCGATCAATTTTGATTGGAAATCGTCGACATGGACACCAGTTGTCCTACGTGACATAGCCGACGCTAATGTGGATAATTTTTTTTAATATTTTTTGTGAATTTTTTCCTTTTTTTTCCTTTTCCTTTCTTTCCTTTTCCTTTTTTTTTCTTTTTCTTTTTTTTCTTATTTTTTTCATCTCCAACCTCAACGATGCCCGATAAAATTCGCCGGCCACAAGCAAGGTTTATGACACCCTCGCCTAGCCTAGATCTAGGCAAGGAGCCGATGAGGGAGTTGTGGCCCTCCCCTAGAGTAGGTGAAGGCCACTATGCTCTTGCCTATGGTCGGCAACCTTCGTCGGTCATCGTCAAGGTTGCGGAATGGCAGAAGGAAATAGGAAAAAAGAAAAAGGAAAAAGGAAAAAAAGAAACAAATTCATAATTCTTAAAAAAAATTATCTACGTCAGCACTAATCGTGTCACTTAGGACGGCCGTTGTCCACGTTAATGATTTCTAGCTAAAATTGACCAGAAGAACTACATTGACAAATCCTCAAAAGGTTTATAACTAAATTTGCCAAATTAAAAAGTTTATGACTGAATTTTTTACCGCCGTATAATAAGTTTAAAACTTTTGGACAATTATGCCAAAAGTAGGACATTTTCCCCCTGCATATCCCCTTGTTCTCTCAAAAAATAATTCATGCAATCTTTGTTCTTTTTTCCTATATTATTATTAATAATATTTGTATTAGAGTACTCTTGGTTCATTACTTTGGTTTCGTGGATCTAAAAGTCTAGACTCATTTTTCGAAATTTAACGTTGTGGGCTCCATGTGGTTTTTCTCGTTCCTCGGTGGATGGTTTGGGTCGGTCGTGGCCCCTTTTGTTCTATGTCTCATAAAAGAAAAAGACAACAAAGTAGGTTGCAATTATGGATTTTCATATGCTGCCTGATATCCTTTGTTACACAATCTTATAATTTGGAAAATTTGACCAATTGTTTAAATATTATTTAATTGATGTGCATCGCTTAAAAAATGTGTTATGCATGTTATATATATATATATATATCCTGGAAGTATTAATATTTGAAGAATTGTAGGGATAGAGCATTTAATTCTGTTTGGATGAAAGAAATATCGAAATTGAGAAGACACAAAAGCAAACCTATTTCGCACATTTAAAATAGGATTCGTATCTAGGCCAACCTGAGCCGGGGTCTAATTTGAGCAGTACTTATTAGGAGGACATTGAAAAGCGACATAAATCGCGCTTTTGTCATGAAATTTTTATACGGTACACAGCCTGCGTAACTTATTCGTTACACAATCCACCTCCATCACCGTTCAACAATAAACCTTTATACATCGTAGGTGAGTATAGTTGGGAAATCATTGAGTGACACAAAAGAGTGAATGATAATCACATATGCTAACAGTACCATTATTAGCCTTGCAGCTCAACTGCAAAATCTTTCCTATGTACTCTATTTCTTTGCTGATCATGTTTAGTGTCGACACTCGATGGCACGAGACTTATTTATTAACTCGACCCAATCATACTTCAGTGCGCCGCTCCGCATAAAATCTCTTGAGGCTAACAATCCAATAGAAATGACAAAAGAAGCATTTGATAGTTTATTTTTATTCGAAGGAGTGTCTAGATATGACTCAATCATCCAAGGCCATAATATGCCATCATAAACCACTCGATCATACTAGAAAACCATATTAACAACAACCCGAAGGCGACCAACAACACCAATTCGGTCATTCTTTCTTGGCTAACGTAAAGTCCGAAATCATCCCGACATGCCCGTAATCGGCACTTCCGTAATTTCATCGAGCGGCCGAGGTGAAAGTTTTCCTCTTCCTCTCGAAGCGAGCCTTGAAGAAGGCGAAGAGTCGCTCTCTCGGAGGCAAATTTTCCTTGATGATGGGGAAGTTTTGGAAGTCGGAGGACCACTCGCACAGCAGGGGGAACTTGTCCGGGGTCAGGAGACGGACCGCGGCCACTTTTTGGATCACTCCGATCCAGTAGCCGATGAAGTTCCCGGCGATGTCCACGAACCCCCCGATGGTGTGTTTCCTCCGAAGAACCTCGTCGTCTGCTTGTCCTTGAGCTCGGCTTCAAGCACATTTCGGAGTGCACACGCTTCCTCGAATGCGTGTTCTCATTCTATCCCCGCGTGCCGACAAGATCGCCATAGACCTGGAGCACACTGCAATCGAAAACGGCATGATCCACAAAATTTTTCTTCAGGGTCACTTAACTCTCACTTCGCTTTCGTGCGATGCCACTGAATAAGCGGTTCACTTAGCCTTAGTCTAACTCGTCAAACAAATGAGATTTTCAATGGCTTATTGGTGGCAAAATGAATAAACCGATTCACTGAAAGCGAAACTAGAGTCGAGTGACCTGAGAAACGTAAGGATATACCTGAGAAAAAACATGTATAAGTGTGCAAACTCGTTACTCTGTAGTCTTAAGAGGGAAAAATTGTCCAAAAGGTCATAAATATATTATACGACTGCTAATTCAGTCTTGAACCTTTTAATTGTGCCAATTCAATCCTAAATATTTTGATGATACACCAATTTAGTCTCAAACCTTTCAACTGTATCAATTTAGTCCCAAACATTTTCACGATTAGTCAATTTAGTTCTAAATCTTTTTATGATTTCCAGCCAAGGCCCAATGATCGGCGGAGGAAGAAGGGAAACAAAAAAGGAAGAAAAGAAAGTCATAAAGTTTTATTAAAAAAATCAGAAAAGTATAAAAAAAAAAATTTGTCCATGGCAGCAAATTCCACCAAAATTGGCCAGAATCACAAAATTAACAAAAAAGGTTGAAGACTAAATTGGCAAAATTTAAAAGTTTAGGACTGAATTGTACAATAGGTTTATGATTTTTTTGATAAATTTTCTGTTTCAGGACCAGTGACTTTTGATAAAGTCCGGACTCAAAACTTTCACCTCGTAAGACATAAAGCCAAAGACATCTAATGTTGTCCATGCACGATAAAAAGATGATCAGATAAAGGCAATGGGGCCAAAGGTAGACATACCTTGTCGTCCATGAACTTGGCCCAGAAATGCGCGACGGCTCGGTCACGTGGATCTTGAGGCAACAAAACCACGGGGCGGTCATTCCAAGTCTCGTCGATGTACTCAAGAATCACCAGCGACTCGGCCATGGGCTTGCCGTCGTGGACAAGCACGGGTACCTTCTTGTAGACCGAGTTGTACTCGAGAAGCAAAGAGCTCTTGGGGCAGTTCATCAGGTCCTCGTCAATATATTCGTACCCGACTCCTTTCATTTTGAGAGCCACCTCCACTTGCCAGCTGAACGGGCTCCCCCACGCACCCAACAGCTTCACTTCTTCTTCACCCATCTCAACACTCTCTCTCTCTCTCTTCTTCTGTGGCCGTGGACGTGCGAGAATACACACAGTTACACACTTCTGCTGAGTGCTGCGCAAGTGATAGCGAGGCAATGGATGATTTATATTAGTGTGAGCGAGTCTCTGCACCGATCAAAGATGGCCGAGGACACTGTAGCTGTCTATAAGAGCCTAAGCTGTCGGATAACGATGATATTGTATTTGCGAACTGTATGGGCCCATAAAAACCCAGCCATGTCCCTTAAAAGCCCAAGCCCAGCCAATTTATTTCTGCTTCAACAAATGAAGTGCAGAAGCCAGCAGAATAAACGAAGAAAGCAGGAGAAGACGCACGACCGTGAAGAAGGAAAGAGGGAAAGAAGAGAGGAGACAGAAATTGACACGTGTAGCCGACCCGGACACTCCAACCAGCCGAATCAACTATGAATCGCAATGCCTGGTAAGCATTCGAGCCAATTGTTCGTCTAATCGATGCAATTTTGGAAGATATGGCTCATATTTCGGAGTTATGTGTTATTCGAATGGAGAAGTCCGATTTTTGAGTCGTTGAGCTATGAATGTATATAGAATTGGTAGTTTAGGGTGTTGCGGGGCTGTAGGATTTTACGGAACCCGATTTGGACTTACGGTTTGCCAGATACGAATTTTTGAAGTAGCGCGCGCGTGATGAACAGTGCGCGACCAGCGGTTTTTGGGCGTATTTTCGTCAGTTTTCGGCTCGATTTTAGGTCAGCCAAGTTGGGGTTCTTGTAGTTCTTTGAATGACCTTTCTTTTGACTATAGGCTCACTTGGATCGGGGTTCGGTGGAGGAAGTTATGGCGCGATCAAGTTTCACGTTTAAGCTTCGCATTACGGACGACTTGGGATAATCGCTTTGGACAAGCGATTTGTGGGCGCCTTTGACTTGTTTCGTTAGCGATTACGCGTCGTTTAGCCATTTCGTAGTTATCGTAGTATTTTACTTGATTTTGACGTCGATTATTGTTTAATTGTTAGGATTACGAGATTGTCAGTTCGAGTGAGCGTTGTTATTTGGTTTTGAGGCATTCCCAGATGAGTGGTGTTATTTTTTTCATGAATTTACAAACTCATATTTTGAAAATGAAAATGGTAGAGTTTTA